CCCCCCAAAAAGCCCCTTTGGGCATAATGTAAAATCTGAATTTTTTTTTATTATTATTATTTTGTGCGTGTGTGTTTGTGGAACGCTAGGTGTTTACTCTGAAGTATGGCAAAACTGTTGACGATTTTTATAGCGATGTCCAGCTTTTACTATTTTCATGTAATTAACGGCATGCTCTTAACCCTCGAAACATTCCACCTGTTCTGAAGAAGTAATGAAAATTATATTTATCCCTAAATTACGTTGAAAATATGTAATTTTCGTAACATTGTTTGAATAGGTAATTATATGGCCGCGATATTGACGTCAATCTTCTGGCATCTTTTTGCCGCAGATGGCACAAGAGGTAAAGCAGTATTTGACTTTCCAGACGAGACGCGTTTAACTAATGCAAAACAAACAACTCACGGAAATAGTTGCAATCAAAAAGGTAAATGCTCCTTATCTTGGCCGATATGATTGCTCATGTTACCAAGGCTACAAAAATATCTCAAGAAGGAGAGAGCGTTTATTAAAAACATTGATTGCTGCTTAAACTACTTACTACGGCATTAATCCATTATACATCTCGAAGCGACCACGCGACATAGATGAGAATAATGGGGGAGGTGGTAATTCAAGCTGCGCCATAATAGCCTTGTTCTTAGCATGTCACAAATCCACTCATTCGGCACGCTTTTAACAGCGGCCTGAAGTGGTTCTCCATTCATTCGCTCATGGATACTCTCTGCGGACGTATTTTTAGAGTTGTTTTCACATTTTTAGAGCGATATTGGCTTCGAACAGGGTTTCTTTTGTTTTCGAAAGTGGCACGAAGAATGAGCATGATAAACATTAATCGTTTTTACTTGCGATGAAGTTTTCTGAAACATTTTATTTTTGGCTTCTGGCTATCTCTGTGTCTTTTGTACAAATTTACGTGAAACCATTTGCGCTAATTGAAATTGTATGCATAATATTTTTATTTTTATGACAATACGGAGAACTAATTTTGTTATCGAAATGAAACAAAGCGAGGTCTTGTTTTAATTAAGGCTAAATAATTTCAGATAACCCATGGTTAATTACGTGAATACGAACCAGTTTCCTTTAGAAAATCATCAAGATACGCGTTCCAAAGGCACTTAGGCATTGCTTGCTTTGAAATAATAAACCGACTAGCCAATCCAAATATATAAACATGTTTGCAAACTGATATGAATTTCGTTGAGATACTTCCGTTTTACATTTAAAGATAACATAGCACCGTTATTATTGCAATTAACAGCTTGAGTAACTTTTATGTATTCTTAGTATATTATGGCTTTTTAATGATGCTTCTTTTCAATTCAGCGGTTATATGAAATCAAACAGCAAAGGTTTATATTTACGTCTTTATTACGCTCCTTATCCTATACCCTTTTAATAATCAACGAATTAGAAAATCCCTTAAAATCTGAGACAATAATTTCAGAAATTCACGTCATGACATAGTTACTATCCTAAATGCAGGTAAGCGTCTAACTATACCACCATTAATGAAATGCGACTCTGGGTCACAACGATAGTCCTGCTTCAACTGTTGCGCCGGTTAGCCGTTTATCGTATCTGCGCATCACTCGCCAGGACGTTGGCGTGCAGCCACCCACGTTGCCATGTATTAAATCTTAAATAAAATTTGCATATGTAATATGCATATACTATATTACTGACCAGCAGGTTGAATGTGATTGATAGTTTGATTATCGTGTATTTTGGTGTACCTTTACCCATAAATAAAAAAATGGACATTGCGCAGTTGAGTTTACGTTACCGTCACTGTAACATTTTTTTCTGTTAATTTAAAAGTATGCTTAACTTAAATCCATACTATATGACTGAAGTTCGGTCGTACGTATTATTTCGTTTCTCGTTTGTATAATTTTTGTCATGTATTTTAAAAATGTAGCTTTGTTGATTATTGGGACTATGCTATGAAGAAACATTTAAAAAGTTAAGATCAACTTTAAAAGAGCGTGCTTTATTAGCTTGGGGAGTAGCTTCAACACTATAAAGCCATTAATGACCGGATACCGAGTGAAAGAAATGTAGGATCATCTAATTTGTCAGTAATGTATGTAAGATTACCCTCAATAAGAACATAGTTGAGCACGACTTAACATAACTAAACTACTTTATTTTACTAATATCAAATAAAATGAAAGAAAATATGAATTAAGGTGAAAGTGAATAGTATAGTTGAGCTGGTAACCTCACAATTAAAGTAAGTCCAAACAAGATTCGATTCATGTAGTGAACATTTCTCACACATTATCAGTCTCTAACAGTTCTACAGGCACGTCTGCCCTCATATGGCTAGCTCGATGTAAGCATTTCAGCTTGGCTACAGGGAGTTAATGATATTAAAGAAACATGTCTTGTTTCCCACCAGCTCTTGGAGGATCTGCAAGCCGTCTGCTTGCCTTCGTTCCTTTCCTCGTCTCGAAGCTATCTGGACGTTGTCTCGATTGCTCCGCGCTCGGCCATTGCCTCCTAGATAATCGAAAATGTTTTCGTGTGGTTTGTTATTGTATAGCTTTTTAAAAAGTTTCAAAGTGAGACATGGCATTGTCACTGAAAGTGCATAAATTGTAGCAGGCTACTACTTTATTAGGTTGGTTTCATTAAGCTAAACATTTTGCATCTTTCTCCCTTTTGTAAAAGTTCCACGGACCAAGAACTACGATCACCCCCTTTTCTCTCCTAAACCTCTGAAGACATTTTTTTTTTCACCAATCGCCTTTTGTTGCTGCTTCTGAAATTGTTATGTTTTCTTAAGCTCATTCTTATGGTCTCAAGTAATCTATCACGTGTTCATTGTTAATTTCCAAACCTAAGTCTAGGTATGGAGTACTGTAGATAACAAAATATGCCATAAGAGGCTTCGGTTTGCGGTGTAGTCTCACCATGATCTCTTCCAAGTCAAATTTTTGCTGCTGTAAGTCAATGGTCTCAAATTGGAAGGCCGCTTATTGCATGCTACCCCTGAAGCAGTTTAATGAAGTCTACAACACAGTTCCTATAAGTAAATCGACATTATTATGAGAAGAAGAATCATGGCAAAAATTTGAAGAAATGTTTAAGATTTTAATAATTTTTTTAGTCCAGTTTTATATTATATTCACTGCCGTTAAAAACGAACGTTAATCTTCCTCCCCCCTTTTTTTTTTCATTTCATTAGTTCCGAAATTTTGCAAGAAGGATGATCACTTTGTTTGGGAATGCAGTAAACATGTGAACAGTCCCCCCTCCCGCAGTTGAAATTAAAACATCTAAAAAAGAACCAGATTTACCGATGAGCATCTACTATTCGTGATAAAGGTAGCTTCTAATAATTTTCCCTCAAGGTTACAAATTTTTTCAAAACCCAAACACTCTGAGGTGTTGCAGCTGAAATTTGTTGTAAGAAGTAAAGAAGCGTATAATTATTTACATGCAATTATATGTATTTTTGTGTTTGTAAATGTCTAGCATTTTTGCGGCATGGTGGCACTCTGAATATATGGAGAGCCAAAAGTCCTCACGTCGGATTGATTGATGGTAGGGAAAGAGGACCCTGGGACCAAGCCCCGGCGTCCTCTCCTTCACATTTGGAGTGGAACTGGGCAAAAATCGTACTGTCAGCTATATGGTGCCCGAGGTTCTTGCCAATGACAGGCGTAATCTTGTACTCCTTGCCATGAATTTCATGGGCTTGTTCTAATGAGGTCAGACAGGTGAGATAACAACAACAGATTTCAAAGAGAAAAATAAATATAAATCGGAATTTTTCTTATTATTATGTGAGCTTATTATTACAGTTTATGCTTGTTTTCGATTCGTTAAAAAAAAACTTTTTTGGAGAGGGGGTAGATTTCGGCCCGTCAGCTGCTTTGTGCCCGCGTGCTATTGGGGTTTGAGACTACTGCTGCAAATTATTTGTTTCCAGGCTTTGTTAATGAGAGTTAATTAATGTAATTAAAATAATGTTTCATGAAGTCTTCGAATATTAATTTTATAGCCTAGGTTACTTCTATAATAGCACTTTTGAAAATCATTTGTTGCTTACAACGAGTGTTCATAACTCGAGATACCGTATTTTCTCTGCGTAAAAGTGAAAACACCCATAAACTTACATGCAGAATTTGCAGAGAGATTCAAGAAATAGCTCTATACATTTTTTAATTCCTCTTACCAACGTAATTTTAGACATACCTGCTTATTCACATTATGTGACAATGTTGCCGTGGTGAAGGAGCCGGCTTCAATAGCCTTGGACACTAGTTTGTATCTCAGAGAATCTATTGATATTTGTAAGCTTTTTGCAACATAGTGGCACTTAAAATAGCGTCGAGCCGTACGTCTTATCAAGCGGCAGATTCATACTATCACAAGTAAAGTACTTAATGCCTAAGCCAAGTGCGCTGTTACTTGTGGTAAAATTTTTATGATAATGTTAGAGAAGTTAGATAAGTCACAACAGCAAGATTTACAGATAGACTTAGAATGCGTGAAGATTATGGGTCTGTCTTGGGCAAAATAACTTTCTGATTAGTATTTAAGAATGATTGTGAGGATGCTTTAGTAAAACTATGGACAGAATAAGTTTTTTGTTTATTTGTGCAAAGTTTTAAATTGAGTTTAATCATTTGTTTACAATAAAACAGCATCTGAAATTAAATTTATAGCTGTCTCATTTGAAAAAGTTGAGTAAGTACGTATGTGGGACCTTTGCTCGTAAAAGTGTCGAAATTTGTATATTTGGGTTTTTGCTTTATTTTGACCGTATTAAATGTAAGATTTTATTTTTACAATTTTCTTCTATTTTAGTGATTTTAATGAAATTTTGTTCTGTATTTATAATTTTTTTTGATTATTTTCGTACTTGCTGAATATAAATACTAAAAGAGCTGAAGCCTGCAGCTACTTTTATTAAACATCTTATTGAAACTGTGATTGGTGGAATTGATCTGACTGGTAATTCATGATATTCTTCTTTTTCTTTAGGTTATCTACTATTCAAAGACTTTTGTGAAAATGTCTTTGATGAATCAGTGCCACAGTTAAGCTTCTTCGAAGAGGTAAATTTTTTTTTTATTCTGTCTTCCTTTTTCATCTATTAGATTTATAATTACTTTGTACTTTTTTCTCGCTGCGTTAATATGATTTAGTTATTCGCCTCCAGTTTTAGCTGTTATTAGTGTCATGTTTCTTTTGAATGAAGTATGGAACACGAATTGTGTATCTTTTTATGGAACTATAGTTTTATTTATTTAGTGGCAATTTTTAGTAAAACAGTACTAACATCTCATCTGATATAAGTTCGATTCCATAATCCTCTCCCTCTCTGAATTGTCTTTAAACCCATGTGAAGTGTCTTTGAACTTGAATTTGGTTTTGTTTTGTCTGGTTGTATCCTCCATAATCCCTTTCCATTTGAAGAGCTGTATGTGTCTCAGCTTATGTAACGTTTGCAGAAGCCCTGCTTGCATGCAAGTATATCTCTTTATTGGACACCAAGGCTTTGCTTCGGTTTCGATTGAAATGCAGAATTTTCCTTCAGGAACTGGTATTTTTTGTCTTCGCTACTGAAATCAAGAACCAGCTTTTTATAATTTTTGTTTTATGCTGTAGATTTGAACTAAGCACCTTTAGCATGAATTTAATCAAGATAAGCAAAACACAGCAGTTATTGTGTATGAGGATGGCAACTATAGCTTTTTTAACATACTAGTTTTATGAAAAAGAGAATGTTTGAAGTACAGTTACTCTGTAGCATTTAAAATAAGTTATAAATTTTTAAAAAATAAAAGAAAAGTAGCATTTAAAATGAATTATAAATTTCAAAAAGTAAAAGAAAAGTTAAGTTCTCTGGTGGATTTTATAGTATGAAAGGATTACACAAGATTCTATTAATAAAATATGCATCATTAACCAAGCGCCGAAAACTTTAATTACAAAATAAAAGTGTTTCTAAAAAAAAAGTTTAATAATAATAAAATTTGCAATATGGAAGTACAGTTCTGTGAGCTGGATGTCCAAAAGTAATTTACTTTAATTTTGCAGGAGAGGAAAGAGCTGCAAATTACTTTTTACAACAAGTTAAAAAATAGAGGACTTCACTTTATTTTCAAATATACTAGTTATGCTTATTTTTTTCAAGATTTTCCTAATTTTAAACTTGAACTATTTCCATAAATATTTTTTAATGAGAGCATTTCCTTTTAGTACATTATATTTCATATCATCAAGCTGATTATTAGGTAGGAGAAACATTATACATTACGAATAAATAAATGAAGAAATTCAACGAAAAAGCTGGCATAAATAAACATAAAATACACTCTTTTTGTGGGGGGGGGGAAATGGAAGCACCAAGAAGGACTTTTGCGATCGTGACGAAATTTGGTATGCAAAAACATCTTGATGAACTTGTAAATGATCAAAGTTTCAAGGCAAGTGAACAGGAATTGCGATTATAGCGCGCAATTCGCAAAGCATAAAACCAGTAACAGAGGCGGAATTTTTTTTTTTCGCTGCCATTGTAAATCCGTAAAGAAGAAACTAAAGATGCCATTACAACGATATCGAAGACCTTACAGACAACTAAAGGACTTCGAACGTGGTCGCATTGTAGGGTTGCGTGAAGCTGGGTTGTCATACCGAGCAATAGGCCGTCACCTGCAAGCGTATATGCACTGCTGTGCAAAGATGTTGGCAGCAATGGTTGCTACAAGGAAATTGCTGACGAAATAAAGGTTCTGGAAGGCCAAGGATCACAAATGCGAGCCAGGATAGGATGATTGTTCGCCAGGTTCGAACTGCCCCAACGGTATCATTGTCGACTATTCAACGCACTACAGCCGGTGTCGCAGCCGATCATCATGGCTGGCATCAGACTGGCATCGTATAGTGTTCAGCAATGAATCCCGCTTCACTCTTGAAGCAGCTGAACACCGTGTTCATGTCTGGAGAGGACGGGGCTAGCGTTTCCAGTCAGCTTTTGTTTTACAAAGGCATACCCCTGGTGTGATGGTGTGCTATATCTTATGACAGCAGGTCATCTTTAGTCATCCTCCGTACATCTTTAACAGCTCAACGATATGTTGATACCATCCTGCAGCCGGTTGCATTACCTTTCATGGCACGTCATCCTGGGGCCATTCTAACAAGATAATGCCAGGCCACATACCGCTCGCATATCTCTGGACTGTCTCCGTGCTGTTGAACAGGTAACCTGTTCACGGCTCACAATTACCCATTGAGTGTTCAAATTAGTTGTTGGTCGAACCGCCCCTGGCGGCAATGCATGCTTGAATTCGTCGATGCAAATAGTGGTAGAGGTTCCTAATGTCATCCTGCGACACATTCTGCCAGGCATTCATCAGTTATCGCTCCAGATTTGCAATATTTTGTGGTGCCCTAATCTGGCGGTCTACCATATCCCAGACATGCTCAATTGATGAAAGGTCTGGTGACCTTACTCGCCAAGGAAGAGTATCAACCGGAGACAGTCCAGAGATATGCGAGCGGTATGTGGCATGGCATTATCTTGTTAGAAAATATATGATCTTGATTTTTTAATAATTTTATTATCTGTGTATGAGCTATACACATATTCAATTTTATCAAAAACAACCACTTCCTTCATGGTGCTTCGATTTTTTTGCGAAAGTGTGGATATTGCTGAATGCAGTTTCGTTGGAATTCAGTCCAGCTTTATCAAAACGTTGTGGTTAGTTATTGCTGAACATGCAGTAAAAGTTGTGGGATTTTAAATGTTTGATTGAAGGAATGTAGATCTACGGTACAGTCGAAAGAATAGTGTAGAGGCCTTCAGAAAAGTTCGTCTTCTACTTTTTTTACCCCATGCCTTTGAAAGGAACTGAGAGAAAGCTATGTTGTTTACTTGTCTGTTGTCAACAACAATTTCGGAAGCTGCTTGGAAATCCAAATTAAGAGGCGAATTAGTAAAAGCAATAACTTAGCCTTCAAAAATTTTAAATTGTGATTTTTTTTGCAATGTTGGGAAGCTGTGGTGGATTTTTTTTTTACTTCCTTCTGTTCAGCGTATCTAAATTTTTCAGTAATTCTGAATTTTATAGCTCTTCTGGTTTGTCCTATATATGCAAAACCACATTCACAAAAAATATATGAATGTCTTCTGAATGAAATTCGAATATTCTGTGTTTTGATGGAGAATTCTGTCTTTTGATGGAGAATACGAAATAACCTTTTTGTTTGAAGCATTCGGTGAGAAGAGGATCAAATTTAATTATGAAGCTATCATTTTTATAAACTTTTCTTTATTTGAGTCATGAATTACTTTCTTCTTTTAGTTTATTAATTATTTTATTAGTTTTAAGAAGCTTATTTTATAAAAACATTTATCAACCTTATTTTATTTTGCCTTCTGAAATATTTTTCATAGCTCCTGTCGCAGTGTAATGTAAAATATGATTTGTAAAGTGTGTTTGTGCTCAAACTGAAAGATGTTCAGTTATGACGACTAGAAAGTTACCGATTAAAGTATGCACGAACTCATAAAATTCTTTATCTGCTAACCGTAGGATATTTTGTCCTGACTTTCAACTAACACCAAAGAAGGACCAAAGAAAATATCCTGAACTCTTTAGAGATTTTCTTTTCTAATTGCAAAAAGGTCATAATAATTTGTTTGTTTATATACTATCATATGTTCAAAAAATTTTTTAAAATGTACTTTATATGATGCAAAATTGTGTGTATATATGTATAAGAAAAAATATGTAAATCAAAATTATTACTTAAAACTCCTGAATTCTTCATTTTAATTTGGGTTATTTCCCAACGTTTTATAAATTTATTTTGAGAGAAAATTATCTTGCAATGCGAATAGTTAGGCGCTATCGGATGTATTGGCACGTGTTGCGAACGAACATATATCATCTTTCGGCACTAAAAGGGGTAAATTTCTGTTTTAACATTCTGGCTAACAGTGAAAGAATGATTTACGTACTGTCGACCTTCGTTTTCAGTCGCGTTCTAGACTGAACCACGATAGGGGAATTCCCGCGAAGTAGAATTCTTTATTAACAAATCGAATATTTTCGTAGCATGTAGATTATAGGAAACCTTTTAGTTTGTTTACGACCTTATGTTTTTTTTTAAACATTATTAGAGTCCCCAGACATGACATAACATCTTTTAGTTACCGTTATACTTATATTATTATCCAGTATATTAGATGAAATAAGAGAAAATAAGACTTACTAGATGTTACAAATGTCATATTATTATTATTGTACGCTTAATTACACACATACAGAGTTTTTAAAAGCAACCACTAACCAATGAATATAGTACGAGTTGTTCGATGATCAAGCGATGGAGATGTGCATAGCAAAGAAGAGCAAGGTTACTTACTGCTCCTCTGAAGTCACGACCTCAGACTTGAAGAAACCGTGTTACAGGGAATTCGCGAAAAGTGGAAGCGTGAAATGGTGAGGGACGACTGTGCCTCACCGATTGATTACGAAGGTACTTATTTCCAAAGTTTGTTTACATTTTAAATAACCTTAATAAATTTAACCGTAATAACACATAATTTTACTCATAATAAAATGTCTTGAAACCAGACTTAGGGTATTCCATTTCACACATACTTATAGTTAGCTTAGAATTCAGTTTTCTCCCACTAAAGTTTCTTTGAGTGACACCTACTTTTTCTAAAATAATTATTATCGCCAAACTATAGGACTAGCTATCGATAATCTCTTTACCGAATAGTTACTGGCATTACATGCATTATTTTGGGGTCATACTTTTTGAACTCTTAGTTACGCAAGTGACACATTCACGTTTTTGAATGGTGCCAAAGAAGATTTATGTCAGATTTTACTTGTTATGAATGCAAGTGATCCAATCAATCCAGTTCACTTCTGAAATTAATCTGACAGTTCTGTTCTTTTTTCTCGATCTCTTCCGTTTTCTTTCTTTTTCTTTATCAGTGGTGAATGTGCTTTTAGTGATATTGTTTACTGTAAACGTTTTCTTTTGTTTATTTGCTTCCTCATGCTAAATCATGTCACGTTGCTAGCTA